TCACAAACATCTCTTGTTAAATCTGATTTCTAAATTGTTGTACTTGCACTTCAATAGAACACATTAAGGTTTCTTAAGAACACTGTAATATATATTGATCATGCTAATGGAAGTACAATGTATTACATGTAATAACAAAAACATACTAATGTACTAACTATGTACATGTATATCACAGAAGTGAATAAAACCTATTAATATTACTTTTTTCTGTCGTTTGTTTTTCATACATGACAAAACTAAGATAACATTAAAAAGTTCTATTAATAATGCCAGTAAAAAGATACAGTAAACCTGCCACAAAGCATCTGGTAATAACTGTTTTTCCTTCTCAGATTCACCATTCAAGAAATATGGAAATAAAGATATGGAAAAGTGATTGATATTCAAATAATTAAAAAACAATGTATAAAAAACGCATAAAACATGAACACGTGGAAAATCTATAGCTGGAATGAGGTGTTAAGGAGCAAGCATTCCCTGTTGACCCGTCACACAATATAAATAATCGATAAATTAAACTCAAACTGCTATAGCCGGAAAGTTTGTTGTGCATGTGAAAAATATTTTTTTCCGTGAAAAGGAGAAGTTAAAAAAATTAAGCCAAAATGATGGAATACATGTGAACAAAATGATATCGATATTTGTGTCAAACCTCATTTAGTAAAGAAGGTTCCTCAATGGATGAAATCTCCAAATAACAAGTTTCATGCAGTTTATGGGATATATCATTAAAAAAAAAATGGAATTGTAGAAAATTTGCAGTGAATTGATTAAAATATGTTTAGCATTACATTGCACCAAGATTAAGTAAATGAAGATATCATTTAAGGAATCGCTGTTTGGTAGTTGGAGTATGCCGGTGCATCAGCGATTGGAAACTTGGGATAATTAAGTAAAATTTGGTGGTCCAATTTGAATTATTCTTCTCATGAACCACTGGGCTACAAAAGAATGAAAATTACGTGAAAGGGGCAGGGAAACAGTTTCAGCTATATTTTTACAAATGTTTAAGTAGGGTCTTTCTAATGGTCATTAAAAAAAATGAACGCAAGTTGTCCAGATACAAGACAGATTTAGAGCTCCGAACCTTTGTTATGTAAACAAGGCTAGTTTCATGTTTTCATTTACACATGTTAATATACTCATATATGTTCGTTCAAAGAAGATAATTTCAAATAAAAGTTTATTCAAATACGATTCGACAGTTACTATTGATTTGCTGAACTTCATTTTGTTCTAAATATGATATTTTCTATATTTATCAAAAACAAGGTACGAGCCTTCTTTACATTATGAAGAACTTTAAGTTCTGTATCTTGTTTGTTAATCAACAAATAATGATTTTTGCTTATTAATAGATGATGCCTTAGGTAGGAATTGTAAACATTAAAATTGGTTTTCAAAAAATCAGTTGAAACTGTGTCCAGGCCCAATTAAAGTAGTGTAGATTCAAGCAGGTTTGGATCATAAACCGGGTGTTAAGTTGTGTTAAGCTGTGGCCTCTATCGGCGATTAAAGTTTTACATGGGTATGTACATGTAAATATGGAAAATTATAACATTTGGGTTCTATGTTCTGTTGTTCTACATGCGAACTATTTCTACAACGGTCGAGGCACTTAGAAGTTAGAAATGAGTTTTTGACAAAAAGATTGTGTGTTTGTAGAGTTAGGAAATCATGGGTTTGCTCCAGCCATGACAAATCTTAGTGAACATAGGTTGAATTAATTTCTTGACTGTGCACTCAGTACTCTGTGATGACGAAACACGAATTCGATTCATGAGAGGTCAAATTCGTTTCACGAGAGGTCGAATTAGAATCACGAGAGGTCAAATGCAATTCACGAGAGGTCGAATTCGATTTACGAGGTGTCAAATTCGATTCACGAGTTGTCAAATTAGATTCACGAGAGATCAGATTTAATTCATGAGATGTCAAATTGATTTACGGCCTTGTAGGCGTTGGCACACTGAATAAACATTCCCTGCTCTATGCCCCCGAGTGTTGGGTAATGGTGTTAATTTCAACAAACCATTATATGAACACACTTGAATCTACTCTATCTGTTTATCATTTCATTTAAAAAGCTAGGTTAATTCACAAAGGACCTTTTCAGTCCTGTAAATATGTGAATAGTTGAATTTGCTTCGTTTTATCTCACAGTGCATTAAATATGATTTAAACACTTCATAACTGTCAGTTCTTGACAATTATTTGTCAAATTTCAGGGGGAAAGGAAAGCTTTTTCATCCCAGTCACATATTCAATGCGATGGTCAAAAGAGTTGTAGTGCTAATGACATTCAAACAGAGGATGTAATAAAGCACGCCAGTACTCAAGTAAGTAAAACGCTTCGTGAATGTAACGTCTGGAGGAAAACTTTCAGCTCAAGTCACCTGCATAGACACATGAGGACACATACAGGTGATAAACCTTATAAATGTGATATATGTGGGAAGGCTTTCAACAAGTTATATAACTTACACACACACCTGAGGACACATACTGATGATAAACCTTATACATGTGATGTGTGTGGGAAGGAATTCAACCAGTCACAACACATAAAGATTCACATGAGGACGCATACAGGTGATAAACCTTACAAATGCAGTGTGTGTGAGAAAGCATTCACCCAATCATGCTCCGTTAAGATACATATGAGGATACATACCGGCGATAAACCTTATAATTGTGAAGTGTGTGGAAAGACCTTTGGCCATTCACAAAACTTAAAGAAACACAAGGGGACACATACAGGTGATAAACCTTACAAATGTGATGTGTGTGGAAAGACCTTTGGCCAGTTGCAAAACTTACAGACACACCTGAGGACACATACTGGTGATAAACCTTATACATGTGATGTGTGTGGGAAGACATTCAACCAGTCTCAACACATAAAGAGTCACATGAGGACGCATACAGGTGATAAGCCTTACAAATGCAGTGTGTGTGGGAAGGCAGTCGGCCATTCGCATAACCTCAAGAATCACATGAAGACACATACAGGTGATAAGCCTTATAAATGTGATGTGTGTGGAAAGACCTTTGGCCAGTCGCAAAACTTAGAGAAACACAAGAGGACACATACAGGTGATAAACCTTATCGCTGTGATGTATGTGGGAAGGCATTCATCCACTTACATCTCTTACAGACACACATGAGGACACATACAGGTGAAACACCATATAAATGTGATGTGTGTGGGAAGGAATTCAAAGGGTTACAAAACGTAAAGAGTCACATGAGGACACATACAGGTGATAAACCTTACACATGTGATGTGTGTGGGAAGGCAGTCAGTCAGTCACATAACCTCAAGAGTCACATGAGGACACATACAGGTGATAAACCTTACAAATGTGATATGTGTGGGAAGGCAGTCAGTCAGTTACAAGGTCTAAAGAGTCACATGAGGATACATACAGGTGAAAAACCATATAAATGTGATGTATGTGGGAAGGCATTCACCCAGTCACAACACATAATGAGACACATGAGGACGCATACAGGTGATAAGCCTTACAAATGTAATGTGTGTGGAAAGGCATTCAGTCATTCACATAGCCTAAAGAGTCACATGAGGACACACACAGGTGATAAACCTTATAAATGTGAAGTTTGTGGAAAGGCATTCTCTGCATTAGGGAGCTTACGGGGTCATATGAGGATACATACAGGTGATAAACCTTTTAAATGTGATGTGTGTGAGAAGACATTTTTCTGGTCTGAGGAATTATCAAGACACAAAAGGACACATACAGGTGAAAGACTCCACAAATGTGATGTGCGTGGAAAGACAACCAACAGATCAGGTGACTTAAAAGTACACATGAGAACTCATACTGGTGATAAACCGTATAAGTGTGATGTGTGTGGGAAGGCATTCAAAAAATTACAGACCTTACAGAAACATGTAAATGTACATACAGCTAAAAAACCTGACGTGTGATGCGTTTTGGAAGGCATTCAACAGATTAGGAAACTTAAAAAAGACAAATGGGGACACATATTGGTGATAAACTTTATAAATTATGCGATGTGTGAGAGGCAGTATTCAGTAGATCCGTCACTTTCTAAATACATATGAAGAAACATACAAGTAATAGACGGAGAATGTGATGTGCGTGGGAAAGCTTTCAGTTGGACAGACATGAGGATTCATACATGTGATCAGCTTTAATTGTAATGTTTGCGAAAGGGCATTTAATTGCTTTAAAAGCTAAAAGAGTCAAATGGTGAGGCATACAAGTAATAAAACCCATCATTGTGATGTGTGTGGGAAATTATCCTTTCCATTTAGTAATCTAAGGAAACACATACAGGCATATATTAGTGAAACTATATGAATGTGACGTTTGTGGAAAGTGATTGAAGGGATATTTAAGAGATCAATTGATGAGGATGCATCAAATTTAAAACCTTCATTTAATTTATAATGTTATATAATGTGTATGGAGTTCAAAAAGTAGCATGATTGTAATTTTAAATTTGTTTTAGCTCTGAAAGAAAATTCCTTGAAAAAGCAAAAAGCTCAGGTCATAAAGCATAAAAACGCAGTCACATGCGAGAAAAAATTTTTGATTTTTCTGCATTGAATTTCAATTATTTAAAAAGCATGAGTTTTCAACTTTTACACGAGTTTGATTTTTTAGAAAATCACAGGGCAAAATTTGAATGGAAACCATACCTTCTTCTTTGTCTGTTTGTTTTAGCTCACTTGAGCAAAAAATCCATTTATAAATTTTTCAACCTCCTTCTCAAAGACCACTGGGAAAATTTTAACCAAAATTAAAACTAAGGGGGATGAAGAGTTAAAATTGTTAAAATAAGGGACCAAGCCCCATTCCAAAAGGAAGATAAAAGAGTAGAGGATGGGGCCATTACAAAAATCCTGTAGATCCACTAAGCGAGAAAAAAGTGAGACTTGTTTAAGCATACTGGAATAGTGTAAATTCTAAATTAATCAAATTTTGATCCCCGGAGGTAGGGCAATACCACAATACCTGATTTCAAATAAGCTACATATCTGCAGCTACTAGTACATGTAAATATTTCTGGAAGGTAACTATCTACATAATCATAATCAGTTATTAATTTTTTTCTGTTAACTGAATTCAACAATAATAATTTAAACTGATATGCACACCATTTATATATCATGACTCATATTGAAAAATGGACAAAGTAAACAAACAGCATAAAATCATGTTTTTATTTACAAGAAATTTTCTAAGCACTTCATGTAGACAGACAATGGAATCTTCAACAACAAATAAGTTGTATATTACAGGTATATGTTATATTAAAAATTATGCTGTTTATAAATGAAGTAAAAATTTATAAATTCAATATTTAGATACCCTTTACAAGATCTCCAAATTTTGACTATTTTTAATGAACAAGTGCACATGTACATTCTAAATATTTTTTTTTTCCAAATCAATTTTTTTTTAAAAAGTTCCATTTATTTTAAAGGTAATCAACCTTATAATAAAATTCATAGTAAAAATATTCAAGTGTTTCTTTCTTTACTGATCTGGTTTAAAATACATGTGAAATTACAATATGTATTTCATATAGTTTATGCATGCAATACCAGTGAGAGCTACATGTAGCTATTACCTCCTTTTTTTGCAAACATTTTCTATACTGTGATTGAATTAAATACATCAGTTTTAAGTTATAAATCTTATCTTCTCATTTTATAACCTATGAAGTCACCTGCTTGGCACAGTGGCAAGAGCATCTGCTCGAGAGTAATGAGTAAGGAGTTGATCCATAAATTGCTGGTTCAAAATCCCACGTCAGACATAGATGAGACTGTATATACAGAGGTGCTGTTTTGCAGTAGGTGCTAGTACCAAAAGATCCTTCATTGTTCGATTAGCCATGTGTGCCAAGTAAAGGACAAAATTTGCAGCTCTCCACCGACAAATGTTTGCTTTCCCATATGAGTGAAAGTTTCTCAAGAAGAATGTTAAACAACGTACAAATAAAAATGAACTATAGAGTCTTTGAATATGCAAATTATTTTTTTCTGAGAAAGGGATCCTCAAATGATGTTTAGATACGGTTCATATGAGTAGAAAAGTACTGTATTATCCCAGCTAGTATTCATGAATTCAGCAACCATTTGTTACATGGCCTGAAAAGTATAAAATGTCAATGCTTTAACATAAAAGTATATGATTGATATTTTTATAATTCTTAAATAATTAATTGAATCAATAAAATAAAGTCACACTTGTTATCTTGAAATGCTCATGGGACTGCTGAAAAAAACTGAGATGTCCAAGAGATTCAGGGTAATATACGAGGGCTGTTCGGAAATTAATGAGACAATTACATTTACTCCATAAAGTACGGATATACTTTCATGAAAATTCATCAACATTTTATAGAGAACGAATAAAACTCTTATGCAAAATTTCTAATTTCTATGATACTAAGAAAAGTTTCGGTGAAATAATAAACATGCATATGTCTAACGACCCGGAGCAGCTTCACTACGTCATTTAACGTCACGTCAGCCGGAGATGGTTTCGCATGTAAAACGTTCGGGAAGCATGCATACTTTTCTTTCTTTGTAATTACATATATAACAGTACGAAAATCAAATGGTCTTTTATTCTTAAACTTCCTTAAAAATGTATGCTGTTGCTACCTGAGTGTAAAATTTTCATTTGTGGAAAATGATGACAGTGCCGATTTATGCAACGCAAGTCAACGATATTAAAACTGTATCGACATTCATACCATACGTAATAACTCATGGTCATCCGGAGCTTTTGATTTTACTCTGGTTGTATTAATTGTAAAAAAAAAATGTATAACAATGATATAACAAACCCTAACTCATTATTTTTTTCTCGTTATTATATTGCTCCGCCTTTGACGTCAAAATCCATTTTGGCAGATTCTTGGTAGATTTCTCGACCGCGCTTAATTTTTTTTTATGATCTCCGTATTCCTGATCAAATTCTAACAAATTTGCACAACATGAATTTGAATTACAGCTGAAAACTTATACACATAAACAGAATTATTTTCGCTCTTATCATGGGTCCACGAAGATTTATAACGTTGGTGTTACATATTTTCAATATCTGATTTCGAGACTGCTCCCGGTACTCCTACTAATGACGCATTTATATACCATTGAACAGAAAATATTTAGTACTTGTAAAATATTTTATGCTTATATTAATTCTTAATGTATGTCAAACGTATATGCTAAATTCAGCGAAAGACGTTCATTAGAAAGCAAAATATACACAATATCTCAATAATTTTCGAACAGCCCTCGTATATATAAAAAAAAATGTCATTCAAGGGACTTTAAAATGACTTTGATATCTCAATGTGTTCAAAATATCACTCAGTGTCAACTGTCAAAGATATATACCAAAGTTAAACTCTATACAGAGTATATAAAATTCATATACATGTATGCCATTTACAGTTGCTAATTCAATCTACCATTGTTCATTAATAGTCTGCATGAGAAAGAGATATGTGCAAAATGAGCAAATTAAATTAACAAAAGTAAATCATATATATATATGCAATTTCAAGTGTTTGCAAATCATGCATTCATCCAATCCATCATTACTATCATGATGAGAGTTATTCCCCTTTTCTATAACCCCAAAATATTGCTTTCTTTCTGAAAATTGTAGCTTTTTTGACCTTACATAGATATCAACTAAAGTCTTCATAAAATAGGAATTTAAATTATTAAAACTTATATTAATTTAATCTCTACTTAACTTAAAAGCCAAGAAATAAACAAAATGATTTTCCAATATTTACATAGGACTTTCCAAGATGAACATTCTGTTTATAATTACGGCACATCCATTACCCTTGACTCTGGAATTCTGTACTAGGATGTATTCATTCAAAAAACATGATGTACCGGTATCGTGGCCCAGCATGATAATCTTGAATAGATTTCAGAAATATTCCAGAATAAAACTTTGACCCCCACTGTGGACCCACCCTACTCTATAGCTATATGATCTGAACAAATCTAAAACTGTTCTTAACTATCTCAGAGTGACTAATAATGACCTGCCTATTCTTGAAAAGAAATAAGATTTAATTTTTTTTCTACTGATTACTATTGTTCTCTCTATTTCATTGCTGCACTCAACATATCATCACCAGTAATCAATATACCTTCTCTTTGGACTTGACATCCTTACCTAGATTCTCGTGGTTGAAGCTTTCATCGGATAATTTGTTTTGTTACAGCTGAACTACAAATATGATTAATAAATTAATACAATCCTCTACATTTAATTAATCCAAATAAAATACAAGCATTTGCAATAATGTGGAAAGAAAACTGAATGAAAATTACTGACAAATATCAATGCATACATTGCATGCAAATCAGAAAAAAATATGTAATGCAATCATTTACAGTTTACGTAATATGATGATTATGTATCAGCATAATTTTCAGTTCATTAAATTGTCGAAACAAAGAAACAACTGTATTTAATTTTATAAATTCTCTCCTTTTCATAAATTTTCTTCTGCCTTTGAACTTACATGTACTATTAGGCAGCATGATAATGTGAGAATTTCTTCACCCATTCTTTATTATTAAAGTATCTGCTGAAATTAGAACAGAATGTGATTAAATCTTTTGAGAATTAAAAAAAACAAAAATCAATGATGCCTGATTTTCAATTATATTGACCCTTATATCATCTCTCTCTCTCTCTCTCTCTCTCTCTCTCTCTCTCTCTCTCTCTCTCTCTCTCTCTCTCTCTCTCTCTCTCTCACTATATATATAAGTTTACCCAGGATTCTTTTATACATTTATATACCTGTACATGTAGATATTGGAGTAATTGGACATGCTAAATATTATCTATTTATTTATTCCAATCAGCATGATCAGGATGATAATAATTAAATAATGTTGCATATTAAATATGTTATAATTTTATCCCTACAGTTACATATACAATACTCACAACTGGCAAACCTTGAACTTGCACATCACTGTCTTCAGAGTATATCGTGCAAGAAACATTCAATCATTGCACATTACTAATGAACTGATTTGATTTCCTTTTATAAACATTTGCTTTTTTGTTTTATTTTATTGAAATTATAATTTTTGTGCATTTAATACAGTATCATCACTATCATGTGCATACATATTGAAGACCATTTTTTAAATTCAATCAACAAATTATCATTCTTCAAAAAAAAAATTAAGACATACATGTACATTGAATACATGTAAAGATCAGTAAAGCCCATATTTTAAAAGTGGAGAAAAAAATATATTTTCTTGGGTGTATAATTTGTGTGGGATAGTGCATATCTTTAAAAAAAAACAAACAACAAAAAAGACAAAATGTCTCGATAGCTGACTTTACAATGCAAGGCAAAAAAAATTGAAGGCCCACTGGACTGGGGTCAGTGAATTTTGTTTTATCTAGGATAGTACATGGTAGGGGGCATCTGTCTTTTGTGTCAGTTCTATGTACATTTATAACAAAATACAATTATAGTTGGGCTAGCAACTTGACAGCCTTGTTTCAAAGTTCTGTCATTTCGGAATCCTATTTTGTTTAGATCAATTATTGAATGCCCAACTGTGTATCACATTAAACAAACAAAATATAACTATTACATTTATCATGATTATTATTATTATGGTTTTGGGTCAGTCTCTTTTTTATTAAATCTAGTAGCCTAGTGGGATAGTGATATTATGATGATCTGACCAGTAAAAAGCCGGAGTGAGCAGTGAAAGAAAACTATTTCTAGCCTGGGTCTACAATGATTTCACATTTGTGCTTCATTATATAAATTTTCTAAATTCAATAATGCTTGTTTATTTAACCTTATAGGGTTAATTGTGTAAACTTTTGTCATACCTGGAGATGGCTGTTCGAAATGTACTCTACAGCTGTACCTGCAATAGACAAACAAAAAGAAAATTACTTTTCATTTAACACATTAAAATAATTAAACAATATGTAATTAAATACATGTATTCTTACAAACAAAAATGCAAAACATCAATGTAAATTACTTAATTATCTTTTCAAATACATTATAATTACAAAATATCTTTTCATTACACAGATTGATGCACGCAAGCATGTGATTTATTATACCCCCCGCTTGAAAAGCGGGAGGGTATATTAAGTAATTGGTATGTCTGTCTGTCTGTTATGCTTCGATGTACCCATCTCTTATCCGCTAATTCCTCTAATATACCACTGAGTGATATTTGATGACTTTCACAGAATCTATATTACATATTGCAATTGTGCATCTTCTATTCTACTTTTTGATCCGCCACATATTTCGGGTTTCCCATAGAAAAACATGGACACAGTCATTATATTCATATGAGAATTAGCTGTGGGTATCATTTAGTGTCAGAGCTCATTGCTCACAGTACGTCTAGTATATACTTATACTATTTCAGTAGCTACTTTTAGATGGGTAATATACTTTAAAAGGGAAAATAGTGGTACACATAGAAATATTCAAAATTTTCATAAACTGCATATGTGATTGATTGATTGTATGTTGTTTAGAATGTCCCTCTCGAGAATAATTTTCACTCATATGGAAATGCCACCACTTGCGGGTGGAGGGCTACAAATTTTGGGTGAGGGTCTTTGAGCAGGGAGGAATCTTTTTTGTGCCAGCACCTACAGCGACACGGGGCCTCGGTTTATACGGTCTCATCCAAGGACCAGTCTCGAGAGGTGCTGTTTTGACACTTTAAAGTGAAAGAGCACTTGACAGAATAAGAAACTGCAAACCTACTTTTACTTTTCAGGTAAAGAAACGTTTGTTTTTCAACTTTTTGCAATTTAAAAAATTTATAAATCGATATAACATAAAGTTTTACTTCTTTATTCATGTTGAATTTCTCTCTCGATTTTCACCTGTAACATGTTGGTCTCACGCATTGCTTTCAGTAGTGTTATGTAAAGGAAAATATTTGCAAATGTAAATATATGGAAATACATGTATGTATGTAAAATCTTTAAAAATTCTCTTAGGAAACACTGGGACAGAAAAAACTTCTTATGCGCAAGCATCTTAAGGTAGTGTTGATTCTAAATTGTTCAATTCGTGATCCCCGGTTATAGGGTGTTGCCACTATATGACATACAATTGTTACATTGAAATATGTAGGAAAAAATCTTTTTTCCTGGAAACACCGGGCCTAAAAAGCTGAACCTTAGCAGAAGTATCATGGGGAAGATTTATTCTTAATCATAACCCCTTGGGTAGGGTGTGACCACAATAAGTATAAAAAGGTGGAAATCAGGTGCTAGAAGAACAGCAGGGTCAAAGTTACTCAGGTGAGCTTTGTGGCATTTGGGACTTTTATTTTCAGAGCCATGCCCCTGGATCATAAAAGTCTTAATATTAAGTGAAATTTTTTTAAGGTATAAAAGTCAAACACACCATTTAAAAAAAAAAAAAAACATGTTAATATTTTAGAGATTCCCGACTAAAGTGCTTTACGTATAAAACTTCACTTTAAATTTAGAGAAAATCTTACAATAAGTATATTATTTTTTTGCAATTAAAAATTTGACTTTAGGTATACCTTTACTCAGAAGACTAAAAATTCCACTGATAAAAACCGAAAACCACCTACTGCACGTTGTACACCTATATGATTCTTGTATTAAAGGAGATGGTGAACAAGACGAAGGACAAGCCCATAACGCGACAAACATGAAGGTGAAAATGTACCCAAACTTCGCTCTAGTTAGCTACTAAATTAGCAAGTCACCGAGTGTCAGCCCATGTGACCCGATTGATATTATAATCACTTTTTTCACGTGACATTCAAGTGTTCGATACGCTTTCATTGTGTAAGGCGTTGGAAAATTCTTTTTATATCTACATGTACTTCCATGTTCAAAACATTGAAGATCATTGCGTACAATTTATTGGCGTTTTAAAGTTTACGTTGACTTCTTTCACTTTAGTGTTTTTGTTCGGAGCATTTAAAAGAAAAGGCGTATTATTTTTGCCGATTACATGCTGTACAAAAACCAGTGGCGGATTGAGAAATTTTGAAAACGGGAGCCCGACCAGTTTTAGGTCAGGGTAGGAGCCCACAGTCACACCAAAAAAAAAAACTAAACTTTTTATTTTATTTTTCCGTTACTAATTAAATTAGTCCACAATTGTTATTCAAGATGATTAAGATAAAGTGAAAATGTCATTTTTTAAAAATACACTGTAGGTTCGAACACATATAATTATTTTAAGATTTAGTTAATTCGCTGCTTGACAGCAAATACTACATGAGCAGTGAGATTTTAAGTATTACAATTTTAAAAGAACGTTAGATAGAGAAAATTATGCAGTGCTTGATAATGTGGAAGCCGAAATTCATTTTCTTTAATGCATTGTCCTTTGTACTCTGAATAAAGATCAAAACTCTTTTGAAAATTATCTCTGCCAGTAATCAAATGGCATGTCATTTATGGATTTATTGTGTGTACTTATTTCAGATTATCCTAAAGACAGGTTGCAAATTATTTTTCATTTACGCTAAGACAGTCCATTATGTTCAGAAAATAAAAATGTACTTCAGTGTCATTTTCATCTACCAATAATTCTCAAAACAAACACTACCAACCTAAGCGTACAAAATGCATACATATATTTATCACAATTTTGTTTATTTTTATGAACTTTTTATTTTTCTCTTAATGTTCTGCTCTTTACTTACTTTACTTACTTACGTGGATACAATTTCTTGAAATTATATGCATGGTTATAAATCATTTATTTTTTGTAAAACAATGAACACAAAACCCTCCTCTCCGCCTTTTTCATATATAATGTAAATCAAATACGGAAAAACCATGTGCTTATGATCCATTTCCATGCGATTTAAATGTCTCCGCCCCTTTGCTGCCACCTTAAAATCGAAAGCGGTCCAGTTCAATTTTCCGGAATTTATGGCTTAAACATGTTCTTTTCAATACCGCTGCATGTAATTATAGAAATATGCATGACGAAAAATTCTAGAAATAAATATCAAAAACATATGCTTGCACATTAATCATAGATAAATTTAGCGATATATTGTAATATTAAGCTTAAAATGGGTAACCGAAAAGGTTCCAAATAACGTCCTTAAGTGCAGTCATTCTTTATCTCGGAGGAGATAATGGCTCATTGTTTAGAGTTTTGCCTTAAAGCCACTATATTTACCAACTTATATTTTACGTACCAATGCATACACAACCAAATCAACACTTAATAAAATGGGGATTTATTCAATAAACAAAACAAATGCATACATAAGTAAATTTGCTGCGTGTTTATACGACAAAATTTACACACATGAACTAATAATTTGCTACAAAAGGTATGCAAAAGTTAATTTGCACCTAGTTCTGATAAGGTCTATTTACTCCACTGTGCAGAATTTGCAATTATGAGTAAATCCGTTCATACGACATAAATTGCCCACGTGAGTAAATTTACTTATGTGTAAAATATACTGAGGTATGTAAATCATGTCGTATGAATGGGGTATAAGTCGGAAATTAACCTATACTTTATCTTATAAACCTTTGAACTTTTGCTATGAAATTTTAAATTGCAGCTTCTAAAAGCCTGGTTTTGAGGACCAAAGTCAGAAAATCGTGCATTGCAAAAATAGTTTCCAGATGATGTTGGACCTTTTCAATGAAGTTATATATCAGATTAACATGATTAAGAAGTCTTGGTGACTTATATTTGACCACTATAGAGGGTGTTCACTCCTCCATATCACCAGAACCCATCTCTGCTCCTATTTTGTATTGTTTAATCGGCTTTTGAACTTGAATACTGTTCATTATCTCCATATACATGTACATATGTTTTTTTTTATTTACTTATATAGTTTAGAGGCCAAAAGGTCAAGATCGGGATTCATACCAAAAATTCAGATTATAACATTTAATTTTTAGCTCACCTGAGCTGAAAGCTCTGAAAACATATAAAAAAAAGGGGTGGGGTCATTAAAAAACTTCTCAAGAACCACTGGGCCAGAAAACAAACTTATGTAGAACTGTTCTGGGGTAGTGTTTGTTCTAAATTGTTCATTTCATGATCCGGGCCAGGGGTCCAAGTTTTAAATAAAAATATGAATGAAAAAGAAACTTTAAAAAATCTTCCCTAGGACCACTTCCTAAAAAAAAATAACGCTATAGTAACTCGTTTGTATAGTTAACTTTAGTTTACTATATAGTTAATTATTGCATCCATCCGTGGATATAGCACAATTTTATCTAATGGGCAACATCCCCGACATGTATGAGATAAAAGCAGCAAAATTCTGAGCATCTTGAGCTTTACATGTATAAGAAGTTATAAGGTAAGCTGCATATATTCATAATTAATTAAATATAAAAGTAGGATAAAGTAAGTATTAAAAAAAATAGATAAAATAGATTATTATTTATTTACATATTTTAATTTATTTATCTTGTTTTCTTTCTTTCTTTTTGTTGTTTTATTTTATTTTCAGTTTTTATAATTTTTTTTAAAGATCGGGATCGGCATTTCGCTTTGTTTATACCAGAGGTGTCGAGAGAATCGGCTTCATCGGGCAACTCAATTTTCTCAAGGAAATGGTATCAGGTATGCTGCTTCTTCCTAAGTTAAAACTTGTGATTAAACAAGAAAATCTAAATGACTCTTGCAGAAAGCTGTAAAAAAAAAAGCCACCGAGAAAAACAGGAATTTGATGCTATTTTCACCGGTTTCTGGTCAACGCATAACTAAGTTAAATCGGACCCCAATAGGATTCGGGCCACAATTAAAAGCGAAGGTCAAAAGGCTGAAATGTAGCACATATAGGATAAAAGTTTATTCTAAAGTTTACAATGAATGTAAATGATATGCATCAAGGTGCATTTCAAGTACTCCATTAACATGATGATTAATCAAGCATGGGAGTGGTCGTGTCGTTAAACGTTTGCTTACACTTTTTAAGCGAGTGTGACTAAAATGGGTAGCGAAACGCGGGCCGGGCCGGGATTTTCGATAACGAAAACCGGATTTTTGATAATCATGAAATAAATACTCATTCTTTCTTCATAAAATTTACGGACATAGTTTATTATTCTAGGACTGGCCTTCGCTGAAAGTTTTAGGTCAAAATATTGTGTTTTTTGAATGATTATTACCGATTGCCCTTTTCCAAGTGACTAAAATGAGTAGCGAGCCCGGATTACTCATTTTGGCGATTAAAACTTAATTTCGGCAGCATATTTACAATTATTTCATTTGGATCTTTGAAATTGAACTTAAACTACCATAAACATTTAACTGTTGCAATAATAAATCACGATTATTAAAAATATATGCATTTTTTGAACACCCGGGATTGGTCGAAACCGGACACTTTCACCTGGGAAAAACCTTTTATTTCCGAAACACTTACCAGATAATGACATTATAATTGAAATATATATGACTCCTTTTTTATTTGCATATTTATATTAATTTTTTCCCATTTATTTCTTAGATGTATCTAGGTCAGGAATTGAAAAAATCTTCATTATTTCTGTGGCAATCCGGAATTATATAATTTGTCCCAGAAAAACGCGTCCGGTTTTGACCTGTCCCGGGTCTATGAAAAATGACAAAAACCCTAATAACTGACATTTAATTTCATAATGATTGAACAATTTAACTATTTAAAGTTAATAAACAACCATTAAATGCAAATATCACAAACACTTCTGATACATTAAGCTTAAAATCGCCAAAATGAGGAAACCGGGCTAGCTACCCATTTTAGTCACCTTGAAAAGGACAATCAGCTATAATCTTCGAAAAACAAAACATTTTGACCTGAATTTCTCAGCAAAGGCAAAACCTATACTTATAAACTATGTCTGTAAATTTTGTGAAGAAAGAATAAGTATTTATCTCGTAATTATCAAAAACCTGGCTCACAGTTTTGAAATTCCCGGCCTGGCCCGGGTTTCGCTACCCATTTTAGTCACACTCTATTTAAGCCAACTCATATTTTCGGCGTGTCGATTTACCCAAATGGACCTGAATGGAACCCAAATGGAAACTCAAATGGACCCAAATGGAAATCAAAAGGAATATTAAATATGTATTATCTAAATGATGAAAATAAATGAACTTACACAGGGGATGACAAATCCCATTGCCCGACGCCCGGGGCTAGTAAATTTTAGGGGTGGGCAAGTAAAATTTTATCAACCACTTGCCCGTGGGCAAGTGACTTATCAAAAATAGAATTTATTTGAAGGCCATAAATTTAAAGCTGGGCATAGGGGCTTGCATGATTTACTCAGCATTTGTCTTCCTCTTTTTTTTGAAAGACCTAAAAATACAGAACTGGCTAATGGTAGGGCAAGCACAAATTCAGGTAGGGCAAGTCAATTTTGACCATGTACTTGCCCTTGGACAAGTGCCTTAAAAATCTATTTGTCAGCCCCTGGTCTTACAGTTACAAATGGATTTTTTTAACTTAAAGGTCTGTAATATTGTATTTTGAAACATGAAGTTTTGATAGTATCCTATATACCGGCAAAATTATTGGGGGATAGGGGCAGGGGTTGGCATGGCCTCTACCCGCACCACCTCCACCTCCGTTCCTACGGCCATAAAAAATATCAAATACTTCAGTTTTGCATTCAAGAATGTTCAATAATAGTTATTACAAATAGAATTAAATCGCATTTTTGAAAACACAATTGAAGAAAATAATCATATTATAATATTTTCTATTTGTTTTAATTTCATTATTCTCTATATTTTAAATAAGTAGAAACTTGAAATAAGATATGATATATATATTTTATATTCCATTTGGGTCCATTTGATTTCCATTTGATATCCATTTGGGTCCTTTTGAGTTTCCATTTGGGTCCATTTGGGTAAATCGACGCACCCCATATGCTATCTGAGGTCATGACATCAGAGAGATTTATTAATAACCACTACCGGGGATATTCACATTCTCTTATGGGATGTGAATATTTATCTGACACATTTTACTATCATGTGGTCAAAAATATTTTGGTAATGAAACTTTTTAAAAAAAAGTTACAAAGAAAACAAAACATGTTTAAACTTATCAAAAGTGTATATCATGTATATGTAAGGTAATTCTGGCCTGGATCCTTATGCTTTGGTCAGTCAGCTACAAGAAGGTATAAAAGTCTACTGGAAACAAAGACTCTGGTTATGAGTGGATTTTTGCATATGATTATAACTAATGTATAATTAAAAAACATTTTAATTATGTGCATATTAATATTTAGAAAGATTTAATTACTGTTTTATATGAGCATGAGGTAGCAGGGGAGATCGTGGGGTTTTTTTTTGCCAAACATATGCCAAGAGGGTACACATATACATGCGATCCATAAAAATATGTACATGGGGCAGTTTTCCAAAGGCTAATTAATTGCACTACATAAGTCCATAGCGTACAAATTATGTCGAAAAAATTACATGTAATCTTCCTACATGTAAAAAAAATGCACCACCAAAGTTACCAAAATTTTGGCAATTTCTTTTAGAGATTTAGGCCACAGTTGTACCTATATACAGCCCACTCCAGGCCCAAGTGAGCAAAATAAAATTTAAGCTCAATTTCAGTGATAACACAATAATTAGGCCTCTTAACATGCTTAACGTGCTTAGTAATACAAGTCCTAGGGGTCACTCACGATTTGAACAAACTTGAATCTACACTACCTTAAGATGTATCCTTATAAGTTTCATTTTTCCAATGTTTCCAGTCACAGGGGTTTTTGAGAAGAAGATTTTAAAACATGTCACTAAATTTTCAATATTTCTCAATTATTTCCCTTTGAATTAAGGCATGGCCTTTCACAAGTCGATTTTAAATGTAAAATAATAACATACAGACAGACGGACTACAGACAAAATATGATCAGAAAAGCACTCTTTAGCTTTCAGTTCCAGTAAGCTTAAAAGAATGAGACAAAAATAATAAAAAAGGTATTCTTTCAAATGTTCTTCAAAGATGAGAGGAGCCCAATGTGAGAGGCAAATATATCTGATTAAAAATATACTTTACACATATTAATTGAAGCAGTTTATTCTATTTTTAAAATTTTGCGGAAAGCCGAACCTGCTTAATCAAGTACTCCGCTAAATGTCTCATGTCTGACATGTTATATCTAGCACATTCAGATGATGCTAAATTAAATTTACACTAACTTGTTGAAAAGTTAATTTCAACCAAATATCTTACACACCAAAAACCAAACATTTACAGTAGATATTTTATTAAAATAACTTCATAGTAATTACAATGTGATAGATACTAGACTAAATTTTTTGTTGATCCTAATCATACTATTTTTCTTACTTTGGGGCAACAAAGCCTCATTTATCACTTTATTGATCTTCTTAATTGTTGACCCAGGTGACTGTTAAGGCCCTTGAACCTCCTGTTAATTTCAAAAATTTGATTTTAAATCAATTTAAAAAAAATAAACTTCTGGATAAAACAATGATTTTCAAATGTCACCATATTTCTGATTTTTCAATGCATCTTCCACTTCAGCATGTTCAGTATTCTTATTTTTTAATTTTTAAAAACGCTTTTACCCATAGACTTCAACGCAGAACAGAACTACTGCTTAGTTAATTAAATTTTTGAACTTTATCTCTGTCAATCCTTGTTTACCATGTTTATTTACAATCAAATGATTTAATTTAATATCAGAGTATAACATGTGCATGTATGTGCTCAATGAACATTTAAAGAATGAGAATTTGATTCTTTTAGTTTTGTTAATCGTTAATTTGAAAATCACTTGACTTGATTGTAGAAAAGACGAAAAACATTGAAGATATCTGATTCTACAATGGAGGAAGATAAAAGAGAAGAACAGTTAATTTTGATGGTAAATGAAAACCCTGTCAACAATGTTCCGTATTAATCACTGTACCTGTCTGTCTGCCCTGTTTAATATTTTGATTTAAAACAAAATGTCATTCTAGCAATTTCTTTAGAACAATGCTTTGCAGTTTAAATATATGGAGATTACGAACAGTACTAGTATGAATAGAGCTCAAAATGCATTCAAACAATTCATGTCAGGATCCGAGGAAACACAAACCCCTAAAACATGAGAGATGGGATCAGGTGCCATAAAGGAGTGAGCATCCCCTGCCCACCCGCTGTGTTTGTAGCTTGGAAATCATAATATGAACACACTGGCATCTACTCTATCTGAATATCCTATCATTTCAATAGCAAAAGTAATTCACAAAGGACCTTTTCAGTCCTGTTACTCTCTGAATAGTTGAAACTGCTAAGTTTCATCTCACAATGCATTATTTATGATTTAGACACATGATGACTGTCAGATACAATGTGATTTTATAGCTATTTAGTGCAATACTGTCATGAATTGTGTGGTTTCTTACATCCTACAAAGAATCTGGGGGAGTAGGTGAGTCATATGCCCTACACAAGAACAGGTAAGGCTAAGCTTAAAAAATTCTTTGTTTGCACTTGCCAACCTATTTTTTTAGACTGGGTAGTTACATGTAGGTAGGCATTTTTTTTGTTTGTAAAAAAAGTTTTCAGAGTTTTGTTAGATATGAAATAATAGAGCTATTTTAGGCCTCATAAACATGATAAGGCTTAGGCTCCACTCTTGTTATAAGCCAATGATTGGAAAAATTGAAGAAAATAAAGGAAATTACACAATGGCTAAAAAAAGTTTGGGTCGGGTCCATTTTCAGTCTTCGCCAAATCTTTTATTAGCCATGAATGTGATCACAAAATGAACAAATATAAAATTTTATCAATTTATTTATTCTTATTTGTCTTTTCATGCCAATCAAAAATTGAAAATCCATTCTGTCAAACATTTTTTTCAATACTTTTTGTGTCTCTTCTGCAGAAGAAAAATTGATCGGTAAAAATTTTTTTTACTTCACTTAGATGGAAAATCAAGAAAGTACATTTAATGTTACACAATACCGAGGCTTATGCCAAAAACATGCCCTTTGGGCTTGTACATGTTGTAAGTGTGCAATTTCCACATGCCCGCTTCCAATTTTACCAGGTCCCGGGCATTGGACTTCCGGGATTTGTCGAAGACTGCATTTTCAGTGGGTAGCTAGGCAACTGGAAACAAAAAAATTTTTATTTTAGACCTAAAATATAAATTTCAAAAATCTTACAATTTCCACTTTTTGTTAAATTTAAGAATTATTTATAACCATATGCATACAGTAAAGATAAACCATGAATCAATTGACATAGATATTGATTGTACAGTGGAACCTCATTTATCTGGACGCTTTGGTTCAATTTGTCGGGGTATGTGAAGCATCCGGATCTCTGAATTAACATTTAAACAAGAAACATAAACGTTAAAAATTTTGTTCCGATGAAAAATCCTCCAGACACTGAAGCATCAGGGTATCTGAAGATCTACTGTTATTAATCCACCAAAATGGTAACATGATTAAGTAAACCTAAAAATGATAGAAATGGAAAATTAAAATGTTTTTTATATAGAGTGGGTCTTCATACCATTTTTTTTATAAACAAAAATTGAAAGGATATGGAAGGATGTATCTCTTACCATTTTCAAAAAAATAGTATGAAGACCCGCTGTATATTAAAACATTAGATTATCTACTTAAATTTTGGAACATATTCTAAAAACTCCTGTGGTGCGTTTGATACACATATAGAACTGTTTGTTATTTGAAGGAAAATTAATGTACATGTGTATGTGTGACTTCGTGGCTCAGTGGTCATAGCAGCAGTGATGAAATACTCAGATATTTTGTCTTGAGTGTTCGAATTATACTGTGGACTTTTTTAAGTGTAGATTAAAATTTAGATAAATACAATTTATTTTTTCACTAGAAAAATAAAATATTGAATTTATTTATGGTCAATAAATATATTTCCTATATTAAACAAGTTTTCAAGATAAATAACATTTAAATTCGAAAAATTATTGGTAACTTTAACTCTGATTATTAACACGAACATTAGCTCTACAGTATCATTAAGTGCATCAACTACCGGTATAAACAAATATATAAGAAATAACACACAGTATGAAAAGCATCACATGTTAAAAGATACTCTTACAATAACTAGGTTAAAAAATATATATATTTTCATTTGGACAGTTGTGAATCGTATGACTAGGAAATTTCTGATATGTTTACAGAGCTTCTAAACCCGTGGGGGCATATGACTCACCTAATCCCCCCAGATTCTTTCTAAAAAAATATATTTGTGTTGCATTGTAATCTCCATGTTTTTCTCTCTTAATTATTATAAGCTCACCTGAGCCGAAGACTCAAGTTAGCTTTTCTGATCAAAATTTGTCCATTGTCTGTTGTTGTCGTTATCGTCAATGTAAACTCATTTTCATCTTCTCCTCAAGAACAACTGGGTCAATTTCAACCAAAATTGCCACAATGTAATCTTAGATGATGGGGATGCAAGTTTGTTCAAATGAAGGGCCATACCCTTTTCCAAGGGGAGATAATGATAAATTAGTGAAAAATTAATGGCATTTAAAAAAAAAATTCTTCTCAAGAACCACTGGGCCAAGAAAGATTAAACTCATGTGGAAGCATCCTTAGGTAGTGTAGATTCAAGTTTGTTCAAATCATGACCTCCAGTCCAGGGATAGGGTTGGGCCACAATCGAGGATTCAAATGACCGGGAGGTAGGGTGGGGCCACAGTGGCCAATCAAAGTTTTTACATAGGAGTATATAGAAAAAATCTTCTCAAGAATCAATGGGCCAGGAAAAATGTGAAACTCATATGGATTCATCCTCAGGTATTGTAGATTCAAGTTTGTTCAAATCATGACCCCCGGGGGTACATGTAGGATGGGGCCACAATGGCAGATCAAAGTTTTACATAGGAGAATATAGGAAAAATCTTCAAAAATCTTCTCAAGAACCACTGGGCCAGGAAAGATGAATCTCATATATATAGAATTAAGTTTTACATAGGAGTATATAGGAAAAATCTTTTAAAATCTTCTTTAAAATCTCAAGTACTTCCAAACCATGATAAGTGATATGATATTTATATGGAATCATCCTCAGGAAGTGTAGATTCTAGTTTGTTCAAATCATAACCTCCAAGGATAGGATTGGGCCACAATGGGGGATTCAAATTTTATATTTAAAAAAATCTTCTTCTCAAGAATAGCTAAGCCAAGAATAGTGATACTTAGTATTTATATTAGGGATGGCAATTTGTAACTGGTTAATCGATTAATCAGTTGGAACGAATGTAACTGGTAAGGAAATCTGCAATCAGTCGGAAAAAATTAATATATGTACAACTGAATTTTTATGCCCCCGTAAACGAAGTTTCGGTGGTATATAGTTTTTGTCGTGTCTGTCTGTCTCTCTGTTTGTCTGTTTGTCCGCAAAAACTTTAACCTTGCCCATAACTTTTGATTTAGTGGAGCTATGACTTTCATATTTCATATGTGTATTCCTTGTGACAAGACCTTTCTTTGGGTACCACCAAATTTGACCTTTTGACCTTGGAGTTTGACCCACTTTTACATGAAAATTTTAAAATTTTACTTTGGCCATATCTTTTGAACAGTAGACACCAGGACATTTATACTTCACATATGTAATGCTTGTTAAAAGACCTTTCACTGGATACCAACAATCTTGACCCTTTGACCTTGACCTTGTAGATTTTCCATACTTGTGAAAAAATTAACCTTATAACTTTTAAAAAATCTTCATACATGTAATCCTTCTTCATTGGATATGAAGATCCTTGACCCTTTGACCTTGAAGCTTGACCTACTTTAAAAAAGCAAACCTTGACCATAACTTTTAAAGAGTTAGGGCTAGTGCTTTCATACATTACATATTTGATTCTTATGACAAGACTTTTCATTTGATAACAATAACTTTGACCCTTTGACCTTGACCTTGGAGTTTGACCTACTTTTTAAGAAAATTTTTAAAATTTTACTTTTGCCATATCTTTTGAACAGTAAACACCAGGACTTTTATACTTCACATATGTAATGTTTGTTAAAAGACCTTTCACTGGATACCAACAACCCTGACCCTTTGACCTTGACCTTGTAGAACTTGTGAAAAACTTTAACCTTGGCCATAACTTTTGAACAGTAAGAGATAGGGCTTTTATACTTCATATATGTAATCCTTGTGAAAAGACCCTTCATTGGATATGAAGATCCTTGACCCTTTGACCTTGACCTCTGAGATTGACCTACTTTAAAAAAGCAAACTTGACCATAATATATAGTTCCTTTCATACTTTACATATTTGATCCTTATGACAAGAATTTGATAGCAATAACTTTGATGCTTTGACCTTGACCTTTTTGACCTACTTTTTAAGAAATTAAATTAACCATAACTTCTGAATGGTTACAGCTTTCATGCTCTACATAAGTATTTTATTGGCAAGCATGATTAATTACATTGACCTTTTGACCTTGACCTTGGAGATTTTTGTACTTATTAAAAACCTTTAACATTAGCTTACTTTCAAATTTCACAATTGTTTTCCAGTGAGAATACCCTACTTTTGGTACCAATTAATTAAATTTGCATTTAATAAAAGCTTAATCTTTGCTATGTTGCCATACAGGGGCATCAGTGTTTTGCAAACACATCTTGTTTTTCTTAAAAGTCATTTTTGAAAAGGAAATTTCTTCATGACAGTTGATTTTCTTCAGTTTTACGCTGATTCTGAGGTATTTATGGCCCTCCAGATTGAGATCGTTAGTTTAGAATTGGTCAGTTTGTGAATTATTACTTACTGCTTTTAAAATCACATTATTGTTTTTAAAACATTTCCACCGTCATGTAATACTTTAATGATTTTATAATCACCAACACTTTTAATGAGAGTGAAACATATCGATCTTTTTTCGTTATCTGTTAAATGATATTGAAAGAAAAAATCGTATAAGTTAAAAGTTAAAACAAAGTTTTGATTAGAATGAATCTGGTTTACGTCTGCACCGGAAAGATATCGGCGTTTTAATTTAAGCTCACCTCGACGAAGTCGAGATGAGCTTATGCTATACCCCCGGCGTCGGCGTCGGTGTTAGCGTCCCAGGTTAAAGTTTTAGGAGCAAGTCCAATCCCAAGTAACTATAAGCCCTACCTGAACCAAACTTGCATGGATGATGCATCTAGGGATGTACACTACAAGACTTGCTTCGGATGCTGGATCTGACCTACATTTTCCAGATGAGTGACCAGGTTAAAGTTTTTGGAGCAGGTCCATTTCACAGGAACTATAAGCCCTAGCTTAACTAAACTTGCATGGATGATGCATCTAAGGATGGACACTATCAGACTTGCTTCAGTTGCTGGATCTGACCTATATTTTCCATACAGGAGACTTTGTTAAAGTTTTGGGAACAGATCAATCCGAATGAACTTGAAGACTTTGATATATGCAGTATTAACAGTTATGAATATTTGTTTACACTATACATATACATATTTTTCACGCTACAGGCTTAGAAATGTGTATATGCCATGTAAGGGGTTAAATACAACTTGCAAGAATATTGTTTTGGGATGAATACTAAATATTAAGAAAATATGATGTGAGATTTGCATTACTTAAACTGATAACATTCGTTGAGGTGAGCTTCATAATCTTTGATTACCTATGTTTTAGGCAAGATTCATGGTTTTCTTATTTTTTCTTGTCTTACAATTGAAATTAAAATAATTTATTTGTACATATAGTTTCCTGATCACAATAATGAGCAGAATGTTTCTAACTTATATCTCTATTTCATTCTTTTTCGTGTACATGAATACAGATTTTTTTGGTTTTAAAAAGATAATGTTTATTTTGATAGGATTAACCGGTTAATCGGTCAGAACGTCTTGCGGTCAACTGAATAGCAATTCTGTAATCGATTGCCATCCCTAATCCCTAGGGTTTGGTTGGGCCACCATGGTGGATCAAAGTTTTACATAGAAAAATATACGGGGAAATCCCAAGAACAGAAAATCTATATTTAGTCATATTGACACGTAAGTGTCCTCATGTATTGAAGATTTAAATTTGTTCAAACCATGGCCCATTAGGGTAGGGAGGGAATCAATGGGGAATCAAATTCAAATTATTATGAAGTAATATATAGGAAGAAAATGTTTTTCAAAAATCTTTTTATTAAGAAAACCAAAGTCAGATGCTGTATTAATATGAAGGCATTTTCAAGTAGTATAAAAATTCAAGCCCCACCCCCTCAGTAAACTTTTCAGTTCTGATCTTATTTGTGCTTTTTCCTAGCTGTTTTGCTCAGGTGACCGATGTGGCCCCTGGGCCTCTTGTAGTATTTCAAATAAAAGTTTATGAAATTATTTGTCAAATTTCAGGGAGAACAGAAAGCTTATTCCTCTGAATCACTTATTCAATGTGATGGTCAAAATTTAAGCAGTTATAGTGCTAATGACATTCAAACGGAGAATTTAATGAAGCACACCAGTACTCCAGCAAGTCAAAAGCTTCTGGAATGTAACCTCTGTAGGAAAACGTTCAGATGTTCAATTTCCCTACAAAGACACATGAGGACACATACAGGTGATAAACCTTATAAGTGTGATGTTTGTTGGAAAGAATTCAGAAAAATAGGTATCTTGAATGTACACAAAAAGACACATACAGGTGATAAACCTCATAATTGTGATCTATGTGGGAAGGCTTTCTTCTACCTGTTTCAATTAAAGACACATATGAGGATACACACAGGTGAAATCCCATATAAATGTAATGTATGTTCGAAGATGTTCAACCACTCAAATCAGTTACAGAGTCACATGAGAAGCCATACAGATGATAGACCTTATAAATGTGATATGTGTGGAAAGGCATTCAAATGGTCAAGTGACTTACAGAGTCACACGAGGATACATACAGGTGACACACCATATAAATGTGATGTATGCGGGAAGACATTCAAGCAGTTACCACACATAAAGAGTCACATGAGGGTGCATACAGGTGATAAACCTTACAAATGTGATGTGTGTGGGAAGGCATTCAGCCATTCAAATACCCTAAAGGATCACATGAGGACACATACAGGTGACAGGCCTTATAAATGTGAAGTCTGTGAAAAGGCTTTCACTTCATCAGGAAGCTTACGGTGTCATATGAGGACACATACAGGTGTTAAACCTCATAATTGTGATCTATGTGGGAAGGCTTTCTACACCTTGTGTCAATTACAGACACACATGAGAACACACACAGGCGAAACCCCATATAGATGTAATGTATGTTCAAAAGCATTCACACGCTCATATTACTTAAAGAATCACATGAGAATACATACAGGTGAAAAACCTTATAAATGTGATGTGTGTGGAAAGGCAACCTATAGATCATTTGACTTAAAAGTACACATGAGAACTCACACAGGTGAAAAACCTTACAAATGTGATGTGTGTGGGAAGGCATTCAAAAAATCACAGTCCTTACACAAACATATAAATCTACATATATCTAAAAAAACCTGACGTGTGATGTGGTTTGGAAGGCATACTACAGATTTGGAAAGAAACTTATATAGACAAATAGGGACACAAATTGGTGATAAATCAAATAAATCATGTGATGTGTGAGAGGCACCATACAGGAAATTTAAAATACATAAAAAGACTTTTTGAATGTGATATGTAAAACTTTGTGAATGTGATGTGTATGGGAAGGCATTCGATTGGCAAGATAACTTATAAGGAGACATGAATATTCATACACATGATACAGGTGATAAGCTTAAATTGCAATGTCTGTGGAAGGGCATCCAATCGCGCTCAAGCTTACAGAGTAAGTTAGAGACATGTACAGGCAGTAAACCTCATCAGTGTGGTGTGTGTGGTAAATTATTCTCTTTATTAAAG